GAGGCAGGAGAATTGCTTGAATTCAGGAGGCGGAGATTGCAGTGAACTGAGATCACGCCACTGCACTCCAGCCTGGGTGACAGAGTGAGACTCCGTCTCAAAAACAAAACAAAACAAAAAAAGGCATGAAATGGCCAAGAAAAGCAGACTAATACCTAAAGTGGGAGGGATTGTCTTGTACCAGGGAAATTGAGTAGTGTCTCCTTGAAATTGGGTGGAAGAAGGCAACAGAGGGCAATCTGTATGTAAATGGCATTTTTTTCTTTTCTTTTCTTTTTTTTGTTGAGACAGAGTTTCGCTCTTGTTGCCCAGGCTGGAGTGCAATGACCAATCCTGGCTCACCGCAACCTGTGCCTCCCAGGTTCAAGCAATTCTCCTGCCTCAGCCTCCCGAATAGCTGGGATTACAGGTGCGCACCACCACGCCTGGCTAATTTTTTGTATTTTTAGTAGGGAAGAGGTTTCACCGTGTTGGCCAGGCTGGTCTCAAACACCTGACCTCAAGTAATCCACCCTCCTTGATCTCCCAAAGTTCTGGGGTTACAGGTGTAAGCCACCGCATCTGGCCGTAAGTGGCATTTTCTAAGCAACACCAGGAGCTAAACTGTCCTAATCTAAAGCGACATGTTAATTTACCACAATTTCTTAAAAACATTTAAAAAGATTCTTTTTTTTTTTTTTTTTCTTTTTTTTTTTGAGATGGAGTCTCTGTCACCCAGGCTGGTGTGCAGTGGCGCAATCTTGACTCATGGTAGCCTCCACCTCCGCCTCCCAGGTTCAAGTGATTCTCCTGCCTCAGCCTCCCAAGTAGCTGGGATTACAGGTGTGCGCCACCACGCCAGGCTAATTTTTGTATTTTAAAAGTAGAGACAGGGCTTCACCATGTTGGCCAGGCTGGTCTTGAACTCCTGGCCTCAGGTGATCCGCCCACCTTGGGCTCCCAAAAGTGTTGGGAGTTACAGGCATAAGCCACCACCATACCCAGTTGAAATATTCTTTTTTTGAAACAAAGTTTCGCTCTTGTTGTCCGGGCTGGAGTGCAATGTTGCAATCTCGTCTCAGCTCACTGCAACCTCCATCTTCCGGGTTCAAGCGATTCTCCTGCCTCAGCCTCCCGAGTAGCTGGGATTATAGGAACGCACCACCACGCCCAGCTAATTTTTTGTATTTTTAGTAGGGACAGGGTTTCTCCATGTTGGTCAGGCTTGTCTCGAACTCCAACCTCAGGTGATCTGCCTGCCTCAGCCTCCAAAAGTGCTGGGATTATAGGCGTGAGCCACTACACCTGGCCTGAAATATTCTTTTACATAGTCATATAGCTTAAATTGAACAAAGTATTTGGAATTGCTAACATAAACTGAAAATAAGAGATTAGTAGATTCAAAACAATAGGAGAGGGTATCACAACCCATGTAAAAGTTTTCTCTGGTAAAGAATACCAAACCTATGTACAAATATATAACTACATGCGTACGTTTTATCACACATACACACAAGCAAAGATATCACTGATGAGAAGATTTGATAACTGTTAACTAAAGGTAGCATGGTACAGGATCTCTATCGGTGAGTATTGAGAATACTGTGTCCACAGTTTACCAGTGTTGATCTTGGTCAACTAACTTACCCTCAGTAAGCCCTGGTGTCCTCAGTTAGAAGACAGGGATAACATCACCTAATTCATAAGGCCGCTGTTTCAATGAGCTAGGATAACACGTTAAAACCTAACTCAGTCTAACAAATTAAAGGGGAGAACATGAATTACCTTTCTCAGCAGACAGTTTACTAACATCCATGGTCTTATTTAGCACTTTGATAGCTAAAGCCAGTGCTGACTTCAACGTCATTTCTCCTTCTTTGTAGTCCTGTTTCAACATTGACACAGCCGCCTATAAAACATGAATCAACACAGAATTTTGTTTAAGTTTTTACATTTTTTAGAAACATGAATTGGTCTAGAAGAAAAATGCCTAAATAATTTTTATAATGATTATCATTTGAGATGGAGTTTCACTCTTGTTGCTCAGGCTGGAGTGCAATAGCGCCATCTCAGCTCACTGCAACCTACGCCTCCTAGGTTCAAGCAATTCTCCTCCCTCAGCCTCCCGAGTAGCTGGGATTACAGGCACGTGCCACTACACCCAGCTAATTTTGTATCTTTAGCAGAAACGGGGTTTCTCTGTGTTGGTCAGGCTGGCCTCGAACTCCTGACCTCCCAAAGTGCTGGGATTACAGGCGGAAGCCACCGTAAGCAGCCTAAATTATGATTGGCATTACAACTTTTTTTTTTTTTTTTTTTTTTTTTTAAAAAATCAGGGGCTCACTCTGTTACCCAGGCTGGAGTGCAGTGGTGTGATCTCAGCTCACTGTATCCTCAGCCTCCCCAGGCTCAGGTGGTCCTCCTCCCACCTTGGCCTCCCGGGTAGCTAGGATTACCTGGCTGTAGCACATGCCACAGCACCCAGCTAATTTTTGTTTTTTTTTGTAGAGATGGGGTTTTGCCATGTTGCCCAGGCTGGTCTCAAATTCCTGGGCTCAAGCCATTTACCTGCCTCAGCCTCCTAAAGTGTTGGGGTTACAGGCATGAGCCACCATGCCTGGCCCATATAAAGAATTGTGATGACAGGCAAGGCACACACGGTACGAGGTGAGAGGAGTGGGTACTGATGCTCTATAAAGTACCTCAGTCTCCCAAGGGGTCTGTCATAGAATTCAGGGGATCTGTAAACTAGGCTGTGAAACAAAATTACAACTTCTAATTTCACAACTCTTAAATGAAAATTGGCATTTAATTATTAATGTAGTTAACAAACCCCAGTACATTAGCTATACTGGCAATTCTGTCACCAACAGAAATCACAAATATTTCCACATCACATTAAGGCTGTTGTAGCTATCATAAAATATTGTTTACATTCATCACCACTGCAAAATTACGGCAGTTATTAGACCTTCTGCTAGATTTTATAGCACAACAAAAATACTCACAGCGCTATTATTTCCAATGCATGTGGCCTTCCATCCCCCGTAATTTCCACTGGGGTCACTCTGATAGAGCTGAAAACCATAGTGCTTATCCCAGCCAATGTAGAGCAATGAAACACCAAAGGGACGTTTTCCTTTAACAAAGAAAAAAAGCCAAATATATCAATAATCTAAATTTAGTATCACTATAGTTACTTGAGCTCAGTGAATGTAGCTAAGCCCTTCTCTGTGAACTCAAGCATTCATAAACTGTTTTGCTCTATTACCAATTCCACTTTTGTTTCTATGATTTGGACACAGCCAGGAGAGGGAATACACAGAGGACCAGGGCTGAATTTCATTATTATGGAAACAGCAGTTAGCTTCCAGATTTAAAAATGTTATCTCGGACTTTACATACCCTGTTAATAAAACGATGGTAATTTACATGGTGGAGGAAACAGGTTCACTCATGAAATAAGAACGTAGGGATTTCTAGTGTTCTACACCACTGTACGATTAATATAGTTAACTGTAACATGCTAGTTTTGAATAGCCAGAAGGATGTGGAAGGCTCCCAACAGAACGAAGTGTTTGAGATGATGAATGTGCCAATTATCCTGACCTGATCACTGTATGTAGTGAAACATTATGTACCCTATGAATATATACAATTATTATTTGCCAATTTAAAAAACTTAATTTAAAACAAAAGGGTCTATTTTTCAATTTTTTACTACCTCAAAAATGTTATAAGTCATAAAATGTCTTAACTTTTTGGAATAAAATTTTCAAAAAAATTAAGTACCTCCAAATTGTGTATAAGCTTGTTTGATGTCACACAGTGCTGTAACCAATTGCTCACAAGGTATTGGCTCCTGATACTGTAATAAATACCTAGGATAAAGAGATTGGCACATTAGTTTTCTCTAAAGCACAGACAGACTCTAACAAGTCAACATCCGAATATTCTCATAGTAAATAACATTTTGTTAAGTTTGGTTGAAAAAAAAATCTGTAATTTTCAATTAAGATATTTTTAATGACTTTACTCTTTGCAAAAGTGAGCTCTCCTTAGAAACATCAAAACTGATTTTTATCATCAGTTATGCTATTTATGACCATACCTTTGAGCAATGAGCCTTAGTTCATTAGTCAGAACATTAGCATCAGAAGTTATGCCTGCCACACTGCAAGCCATGTCCCTTAAAGAAAAAAAGATAGTGATCTGTAAGCAGGCAAGACATTTGTGAGGAGCGCTACAAGTATTTAAAAAGCACAGAGTTCTATTAGATATTTACTACACTTGCTTCACGGTGGCTACTTCCTTCAGAAAAGTCCTACAAGTTTTATTTTTGTAGGAGACATTTACTTGATGTCATTCAACGTGAATGATTAACCAATGCACCCTTAATTTCTTTAATAGATTTATCATTACCACCCAGTAAATGGGGTAACAGAATCAACGCCAAGACGCTAAAGTAAATCTCAAGATTTAGCAACAAAGAATAAAGACAGGCCGACCACAATGGCTCACACCTGTCATCCCAGCACTTTGGGAGGCCGAGGTAAACAGAGGGCTTGTGCCCAGGAGTTCAAGAACAGCCTGGGCAACATGGTTGCCCTGTGCTTCCTAGGCAGGCTTTAAACCCTCCTGTCATTGTCCCCTGTTACCTCCTTCCAGCAGGCCTTAGGGAATGAATACTGCCCAAGAGCAGTCTGTCTAGCAAAATCTTTTTTTTTCCCTGAGACAAATTCTTGCTCTGTCACCCAGGGTGGCATATGGTGATGCCATCTCGGCTCACTGCAACCTCTGCCTCCCGGGCTAAAGTGATCCTCCCATCTCAGCCTCCCAAGTAGCTGGGACTATAGGTGTGCACCGCCACACCCAGTTAGTTTTTTATTTTTTGTTAAGATGAGATTTTGCCATGTTGCCCAGGCTGTTCTTGAACTCCAGAGGTTGCAGTGAGCCGAGGTGGCATCACCATATTCCACCCTGGGTGACAGAGCAAGAATGTGTCTCGGGGAAAAAAAAAAGATTTTGCTCGATAGACTGCTCTTGAGTAGTATTCATTCCCTAAGGCCTGCTGGAAGGAGGTAACAGGGGACAATGACAGGAGGGTTTAAAGCCTGCCTAGGAAGCACAGGGCTATGCACCTATTAGAGGTGTATTTCCCCCCCTTTTTTTTTAAGACGGGGTTTCACCATGTTGGTCAGGCTGGTCCTGAACTCCCGACCTCAGGTGATCTGCCCGCCTTGGCCTCCAAAGTGCTTGGATTACAGGTGTGAGCCACCATGCCCAGCCATATTTCCCTTTTTTTTGGCTCATTTCCTGAGGGCTGCCCTGGCTTTCTTACAGCTGAGACTTGCGCTGTGACTATGCCTAGCCCTGCCTGCCAGCTGTTGAGTGGGCCCATCAGAGGCTCTGTGGAGGGGTGACACCACTTTGAACAAGTGTATCAAAAGGCCCTGATAATTGGCATTTACCAAGCCCACCACTGAAGGGAAAGGCTCTTATTAGCACAGCCAGCTCTCCATGAGCTGCAAAGTTCTGCAAATCCAAATATAACAAAATTCTCACAAAGTGTACAAGGCTTAGCTAAATTCTTCCCAGACCTCCAGGAGGCTTGTTCTTTAGTAAGATTCAGTATAGAGCAACAAAATCTTCTGTAGCTATTCTACTTTTTTTTTTTTTTTTTTTTTTTAAAGGGGGGTTTTCCCCATATTGGTCAGGCTGGTCTTGAACTCCCAACCTCAAGTGATCCGACCGCCTTGGCCTCCAAAGTGCTTGGATTACAGGCTTGAGCCACAGCACCCAGACTCTGCATAGGTATTCTAAACAATACTTTGAGGACCTACTATATGTCAAACACTATACTATTGTATTTCATTCATTTTATTTCATTAAACTGCCACAACCACTTTAGGAGGCTCTGGGGCCCAAACAAATTAAATAATTGGGCTGGGCGTGGTGTCTCACGCCTGTAATCCAAGCACTTTGGAGGCCAAGGCAGGCAGATCACCTGAGGTCGGGAGTTCAAGACCAGCCTGACCAATATGGTGAAACCCCGTGTTAAAAAAAAAAAAAAGGAAAGAAATTAAATAATTGGTGCAAGGTCACATAGCCTGTATGGGTGAAGCCTGGACTTGAACCCAAAACTCTGTGACTAAGTCTGTGCACTTATCATTACACAATGCTGGTTTCTCCACTTAGTGTTTGCTCTGCACTTAAAAGGAGTAACACCTGGTACCAGGCCTCAAAGAGGTTTCAAGCAAAATAAAGGCACAACTTCAATTCTACCACATCACAGGGAACAGCCCTCCCAAATTACATAGCTCCCACTTATGTGAGTGAGATATTTTTTAAAACTCTTTCCTAAAATCTCACTTACTCATTGAGTTTATAAATTTTTTCAGAAAAAAAGACTTCATCAAGAAGCTTGTGGATGTTGCGTCTCTCTGCTGCAAGCAAAACACCATCATTTGCTAGAATTCCCAAACAGGTGCCTGCATGTCCAATCGCTTCCATGGCATATTCAACTTGGTATAAGCGACCTACAAAACAAAAGGAGTGAGAAGCCAAGACTCTCCTCTGTGCTCTCCAATCACTGGCCCAAAAGAAATCAGCAATGAAGCAAGCTAGAAACAAAAGTCCCACTTTTACTCTTCTAGGGTATAATCAATCTGGTGACCATAATTGCTTCAAAGAACAAAAGGGAGGAACTTTGCAACTACAAAAAGTTTGTACATTTTTTTTTTTTCTAAAAGTCTAACATATTTTTTTTTTTAACTTGAGGCAGATTAAACAATTTCCATTTTACCTTCTGGAGAAAATATAGTGGTCCTGGAGTCATATCTTCGAGACTGCAAGGAAAAACACACAAGTGATTCCTATCCACTGAAAGTAAACCAGCTCCTGCAAGCCTACAAATCATCTTACAGAACCTATCCTGGCATACAAAGTTCAATGGGTGAGAGGAAACTGACAAGAAAGAAGGCGCCATCCCACTGCTTTCCTTGCATTTCAATTTTCCCACACAAGTCTGTAAGCTGCGTACAATACTATTCATCAGGCAACAGTTTATTGGCATTAACTCACCATGTTTTCTGAACTTTATCTAGTTCCTGTAAAAAGAAAATCGGATCATCATTAAAATAAGATTCACAAATTAAAAAGCATTTGCTGACTTTACAAATCTGTTTTATTTACTCCCTTTATTCAGCTAAGTGTCAGGCATTATGGTAGATGCTGGAATACCAAAATGTGTAAAACAAATTCTTGTCATGAAGAGCTAATACTGGCAGTTAGGTGACAGAGGCAGACATAGATTATAATGTGGAAAGAGGAACCGAGGGTAGGGTGGGAAAAGGGATGAAGAAAAATCAAGAAAGCATTTTTTGAGAAGCCGCTACAGAAAATGAAAGTAAATCAAGAGACAGGAGAGGCACAAAAAAGGCCAAGAACCCTTGGGTCTAAGAGAAAGAACAGGGGATGAAAGAGGCGAAGGGCATTCCAGACGGCGCAGAAAGTATGAACAAAGGGTACTGAGGCAGGATAACTTAGTGGGCATGAGACAAACTGCTGATCTTTGAAAATATATACATATAAGAGCTAAGCGAGTATCCAAATCACGCGGAGCCTTGAATGCCAAGTGAAGAGGCTTAGGCCTTCTCCAGAGAGTGATCTGGGTCCTGAACTTGGGGCTGAAGGCGGTTATCTGGGGCAACATGAGTACCATTCGTGCAAAAGACAGCACTGGGTGCGCAGCGCTATCTGGTAGAAAAGCCTCAGTCCAAAGTCCACATTCCCAAATACTGGAATACAGGAAACGAAGGCTGGAAAGGCAAGCTGGAATCAAATCCTGGAGAGCCCAGGTGCCCACGTGAAAACTGAGTTTCATCTCTCAGTCAAGGGGCTCCTCTGAATGATTCCCAAGGGACACAGGAACTGATTGGCATTTTAAATGATCACCAGGCTGGTGAGGCCGAGGGCAGCGAACTGGCTGAGACAGCTGCAATAGGAAGGTGCAAAGGAAGGATGGCCCAGAGCAGAGAAGCAGGGAGGACACAGACACTCGCGGGGGTTTCGGATGCGAGCGCAAGCGCCACTTTCTGCTGTCTCCACGCCGGACGCTGGCACAGCACGATCGTGAGTTCAACGGCACCGGGAGCGCTAACTTTCACCTACCGAACTCCCGGGGCCGGACGCCGCCCAGACCCCTCGGTCCTGCCCACAGACCCCCGCCCTCAGCCCGCCCCCTCGCCGGGCCCAGCGTCCAGATTCGGCACCGGGAAGCCCCCGACGGCGGCCGGCGGGGGCCAGTCAGTCCCCGAGGAGGCGGTGCAGAGTCATCGTGCCCACGGCTCCTGGCGGCGGCTGCAGCCGAGACCGACGGGCTTGCCGTTCACGAGCCCCGCCCGAGGAGCGAGCGGCCAGGCTTCCGCGGGCCCCCAGGGGGCAAAGGCTCACCAGAGGGAAGACCCTGAAGACTTGTGACGTCCACGGAGCCCTTAACTCCGCGGGAGAAAAATCACCAGCGCTGCCAGAGTATCCGCTGCTAATATGGCCCCCGCACATGCGCAGAACCTCCGGGGAGGGGGCGGGCCGGCGGAGGACGCGGAAGTCCTCCTTGCGGGGCGGAGCGAGAACTCTTGGCCCTCGTGGGAGCTGGGGTGCGGGGGTGGGGGCTCGAGGGCGCTGGAGTCCTCAGCAGGTGGAGGAGTTGCTGTGCCATGGTGAGGAGGGCACTAGGACCGTAGCCAACCAGAGTGGAATTGCTGTATAGCTAATTTCCTTCTACTCTTGGGGCTCTACTTTCACTTTCTCTTGACTGTTCAGTGTGGACCTGCCTCTTAATTGCTGTCATTCCTGTCCTGTTTCCCAAAACGGTTCCAACCACTTCAGACTTTACCCGTCTCATCATCTCCCTTTTTCATTCTGGCTTCCACTGTTACTGCTGATGCATACATTTTTGGACATAAATTATGATGAAGGCTGGGCGGGGTGGCTCACGCCTGTAATCCCAGCACTTTGGGAGGCCAAGGTGAGTGGATCACCTTAGGTCGGGAGTTCGAGACCAGTCTGGTCAATATGATGAAACCCCGACTCTACTAAAAATACAAAAATTAGCTGGGCTTGGTGGCAGGCGCCTGTAATCCCAGCTACTCAGGAGGCTGAGGCACAAGAATCGCTTGAATTCGGGAGGTGGAGGTTGCAGTGAGCTGAGAGTAAGCCACTTTTCTCCAACCTGGGCTGGAGAAAAGAGTGAGATTCCGTCTCAAAAGAAAAAAAAAATGATGATGACGGTCAGCACGGTGACTCACACCTGTAACTCTACCGCTTTGGGAGGCTGAGGCAGGAGGCTGGCTTGAGGCTAGGAGTTTGAGGCTGCAATGAGGTATGATTGCACCGCTGCACTCCAGCCTGGGTGAGAGATAAAGACTCTAGCTCTAAAAATTAAATTTAGAAAAATTATAATCAGGTTCACACTTTGGGGAGAATTTTCACCTTGGTCTCTCTCTGCTTTTCACCAGTCAGAAAGGATTTCTCTGAGGAGCGTAGTTAAAGCGGTACCCTACCATCAGCACATACTCGCAGCATTTTATCTTCTTTACTGAAGCTGTCGTGCTTGTTTATGTGTTCATTACCCGTCACTCCACCGTTTTGCTCATTCAGCCTCTGTCCCTATGTAAACTATCTACTTTTCATGTTTAGGTTTTTTCAGGCTAGAAGGTTGAGTAGATTTGGGTTCGTATCAAGTCATCTGCCTACAACCTCTCCCAGAAAGCAGCCCTTTGGGCAGAATCTGTCCTCTTCATGTTGGGTGCAAAATTGTTGGGGGATCTGGGCTTTGGAAAGGAGATAGCTTAGAAGTAAGTTACATTTTGAGATCTTGCCTATCCTCTCTGCTTTCCAAGCACACAGGGAAGTGAGCCAAGGCAAGGTGGCAGAGCCACATGCAGGTGGTGCTCTGAAAGCATCCTCAGGTGGTGTAACTTATGGCATCTCTGAGGGCCCCTGCCTGCCACCTTAGTTCATTCTGCATAATTCAGCGAACAGTAACTTTTTTTTTTTTTTTTTTTTTTTTTGGGACGGAGTCTTGCTTTGTTACACAGGCTGGAGTGCAGTGGCACAATCTTGGCTCACTGCAATCTCCGCCTCCCTGGTTCAAGCAATTCTCCTGCCTCAGCCACCTGAGTAGCTGGGATCACAGGTGCCCACCACCACACCCGGCTTATGTTTGGTCTTGAACTCCTGACCTCAGGTGATCCACCCACTTCGGCCTCCCAAAGTGCTGGGGTTACAGGTGTGAGCCACTGCGCCCAGCAGTGAACAGTAACTTTTAAGTGAGAGGTAGAATTTCTCAGGTGTAAAGAAGAGGGATTAGTTGAGAAAAAGGGCAAAAGAAGAATGAGTCTGACAAGTGTGGGTGACTGAGTAGTTCCCTCTGACCTGAATGGAGGAAATAATACAGGAGGTAAAGAAGGGAAGGTATTTGGGGCCAAAGTGCAGAGTGCCTTCAATGCCAGAATTTGTTTTGGTCACTAATGGGAAGAGAGGATTAAAGTGATGTTTTTGGATACTGAGCCCTCAACGTTTCTCATCCCACATGTTCCCCTTAGAATGTGCCACTGATGGTTCTCATTGGGAGGTTCTGTGTCCCCTTATTCTGAATCTGGGTGAGCCTGTGACTACAATGGAAGTTGTAGGTAACCCCCAATGTAGGCACTGGGGAAGGAGAGCTAAGCAGAATCCTGGCACAATTAAGATCTGGAAAATATTGGCCGGGCGTGGTGGCTCACGCCTGTAATCCAAGCACTTTGGAGGCCAAGGCGGGCGGATCACCTGAGGTTGGGAGTTCAAGACCAGCCTGACCAACATGGTGAAACCCCGTCTTTTTAAAACAAAAAAATAAAAATAAATAAAAATAAAAAAGATCTGGAGAATATCTCAATTTATAGTGTTACCACTCAGGTATTTCCATATATATATATAAAACTATATCTTAGTTCATAATCTGAGGAATGCCTAGAGTAGATGTAGTACAGAGCATGAATTAAGGAATAAGCAGCTTATAATCGGAGGAATGCCTAGAGCAGACACAGTGCAGAGCATGATTTAAGGGAAAACAGTTACACCAGGACAAGAATCCATGGCCCAGGCGGCAGCGTTCTGTATCGTAAAGATACCTGCTGTATGGGAGGCTTGGGGCAAGAGCCACTCCTCCTGATAAAGGAGTTGCAGGACCTTGCTCCAGTTCTTGTGGAAGGCTGCCCTCAGAACGGCAATCCACCTTTGTGACTGTGAACTTTATCAGCTCTTGTCACTGTGCTGCTCAAAAAGCATTCCCCTATAGAACTCATTGGAAGCTGCCAGCAGGTGGCGTAGACCCTGACAGCTCTGTCACTGCTGTGTGACTTAAAGCATCCTCCTGTAAATCTTAGTAGCTTGCCCATAGATAGAGGTATTGCACACTGCACGCTCTTCACTGAGCATGGCCCACCTCCATGCCTTGGTGACCTAATGGTGGTGGACCCCTTACTGTACACTGCCCTTGCCTCGATGACCTAATGGGAATGGACCCCTTGCTGCACACTGTCCACCTCCCAGCCTAGGCGACCTAATGGGGGTGGATCTCTTGTTTTATTGCTCATGACCCTATCACTGTCCTTAAAGATGATTTCACTCACTGCCCTGCCCCCTAACCTATACACAATAGATACTCATGCTTCTGGACATTCAGGGCCTCACCTGACTCTGCTCATAGGTGGCGTGGCCCCTCGAGCCCAGCTGCATTTTCCTTGTACTTCTGTGTCCTGTCTCTTTATTTCTCGGATCCTACGCCTCAGCACAGCATAAGGGACACCCCACGACCCTGTGGGCCATCAGCCCTACAGGAAGTGGTATCATGTGACTTCAAAGAGCAAGTCACAAAAGGTGATGTGGTTCTGTCTTGTCCTCTTGGGATGGTCGTTCTTGGGACCCTGGCACTTTGCTGTGGGGAAGCAAAGACCACATGGAGAGGTGTTTGGCCAACAGCCTAGATGAAGTCCCAGCGTCACCTGCCACATAGGTGAGGGAAGATTCCTCCAGATGATTCCAGTACCCTGTTGTAACCAGGCAGCTTAGCTTCAAACTGCATTAAAAAAAATTCCCTTTTTCCTTTGGTTTAAAGATATAACCTTGAAGCAAACTGCAGAAGCCTTTTACTAACTCCATCGCTCCCTTTCTTATCGTATATACTCCCTTCACATTTATCTGTCTACTAGTATCTAATTATGTGTCTTAGAGGTCCCAGGAGTCAGTCCTGAGACACACAGACCAAGCCTGGAGACCCAGCTGCAAAGTTCCAGAGATTACTGCAAGGCAGCCAGTTAACAACCTGGCCATTGTTGAAATGACGTAAGCCCGGGGTCCAGGTGGACCAGGCCCCAAGATAGCCACCAGAACGAGACACACAGACACTGTACTCAGCCCAATTCTGCATGCCTTCCTTATCAAGTTTTCTCTTTTTAAACCCCTGCCTTCTCCCTAAAAACAGAAGCTGTTAATTTGGATAGAATCCGACTGCTTTGCCTTCACTAGTTTTTGTTAATAAGTTCTATCTCTCTACCAGACCTCACCCTTGTTAACTGGACTCTGTAAGAAGTGAGTGTTCGGTTACACAGTGATTGAGTCTCTCCCAGGCATGAAATCTCTCCCAGCCTTCAAGTCTTCCCAGTGGAGGCCCCAGCATTGGGGAGCAGAGACAAACTGTCACAGGGCCTGTCTGAATTCATGACTGCCAGAAACCATAAACTAATAAAATTATTGAAGCTTTTTTTTTTTTTTGGAGATGGAGTCTCACCCTGTCCCCCAGGCTGGAGCAATCTCTGCTCACTGCAACCTCCACCTCCTGGGTTCAAGTGATTCTCCTGCCTCAGCCTCCCAAGTAGCTGGGATTACAGGTGCCCGCCACCACGCCCAGCTAATTTTTGTACTTTTAGTAGAGATGGGGTTTTACCATTTTAGACAGGTTGGTCTTGAACTCCTGACCTCAGGTGATCTGCCCACCTTGTCCTCCCAAAGTGCTGGGATTATAGGCATGAGCCACTGCGCCCAGCCTATAATCATTCAATAATGATTGAAATTTAAGCCACAAATTTTTTTGTCATCACACAGCAATATATGTAATGAGAGTTTTTTTGTTTGTTTCTTTTTTCTTTGAGACGGAGTTTCACTCTGTTGCCAGGCTGGAGTGCAGTGGCATGATCTCGGCTCACTGCAACCTCTGCCTTGCGGGTTCAAGCGATTCTCCTGCCTTAGCCTCCTGAGTAGCTGGGACTACAGGCACACCACGACGCTTGGCTAATTTTTGTATTTTTAGTAGACACAGGGTTTCACCATGTTGGCCAGGATAGTCTCAATCTCTTGACCTCGTGATCCACCTACCTTGGCCTCCCAAAGTGCTGGGATTATAGGCATGAGTAACCAGAGTTTTTATCTGCCTTATAACATGAAGTGCAGAAGTTAGGGAGACTAAGAACACTAGAAAGTAAAGTTCTGTTGTAGCCAGAAGAAGACACTTGCAAGAGTAAAGAGTCTTTGCCAGACATATGGTATCACTTCCCGAATCTGGAACTGGGTTTTGTCCACGTTGTTTGGGAGGACCAGTTCCTGGCACTTGCAGTGCTGTGTTCATTCTTACAGTTTATTCAACAGATCTTTACTGGGTCTTCTAGGGGCATGGTGCTAGGTCCTGAAGGTAAAGTAAAAGAAATATTTAATGTATGCATTGTCTTGGGGTTTTCCAGAGAAACGGAATCAGTGGGATCGATGGATGGATAGGTAGATAAACAGGAGGGGATTTATTATGGAAATAAGTTATGGAGGCTCAGATGTCCCAAGATATGCTGCCTGTAAGCTGAAGAACCAGTGAGGCCAGTGACGTGTTTCAGTCTGAGTCTAAAGGCTTGAGAACCAGAGGAGTGGATGGTGTAACTCTCAGACTGAGGCTGACTACCTGAGAACCTGAGGGGCCGCTGGTTAAGTCCCGGAGTTTGAAGGCCAAGAGCCTGGAGTTTTGATATCTGAGGGCAAGAGAAGATGGCTGTCCCGGGAGAGACTGAATCCATCTTTCGTGTTTTTTTTTTTTTTTTTTTTTATCCAGGCCCTCAACAGATTGGATGGTGTCCACCCACATTGGTGAGGGGGATCTTCCCTACTCAGCTACTGATTGAAATGCCAGTCTCTTCTGGAAACTTCTGCACAGACATGCTCAGGAATAATACTGTAACTACCTATCTCCGTTTCCCTTAATCAGGCAAGTTGACACCTAAAATGAACCATCACAGCCACCAAAGAGTTTATATAAACCACATGAAATTGATTGATTGGACACAAGTTAGAACAAACACCGAATAGTAAAATATCAATGTAAGGCAGCATGTAAACATCAAAACCATGGTTAGCAGTATTTGCATTGGGAATATCCATGTGAGCAGGGGCAATCAAGAGGGAAATCTATAGAGTTTCATCAATTTCGAGGATGAACACTGGTCTGGAAATGAAACCCGAGCTTCAGTCCATTTTTCTGGTATCCAGTTTTTAGCTTGAATGGTCAACCTAGATAAAAACCACAATCCCTTAAACCTGAGAAATGAAAGTGCTTTCATGTGAATGATCTCATTTGTTCCTCCCACTGTGTGTGTGTGTGTGTGTGTGGCAGGGACAGGAAAGGGTGAGAAAGTAGCATGGAACTTTGTGGTGGTGAAGAGCATGATCTGCATCAGAAAGACCTGATTTAAGCCCTGGCTCTCTTTGAGCAAATTATTTTTACTTTTTCAGCTATTATTTCCTTATCTGAAAATCCGGATTAATTGTAACAGCACTTCTTTCATGGGTTTGTTGTAAAAATTAAGTGAACTAATGTGGGTAAAATACTTCAGTGCCGAGTAAACGTTGGCTTTTATCATATATTGTTAAAAACAACACAGGCCAGGTACAGTAGCTCACGCCTGTAATCCTAGCGTTTAGGGAGGCCAAGGCAGGAAGATTGCTTGAGTTCGGGGGTTTGAGACCAGCCTGGGCAACATAGTGAGACCCTATCTCTACAAAAAAAATTAGCCAGGCATGGTGGCACATGCCTGTAGTCCCAGCTACTCAAGAGGCTGAGGTGGGAGGATTGCTTGAGCCCAGGACATAGAGGTTGCAGTGAGCTGTGATCATACCACTGCACTCCAGCCTGGGTGACAGCAAACCCGTCTCAAAAAAGCAAACCAAAAAACCCAAAACAAAAAAAATCCAGGAAAGACAGAGTTCTAAAATTTGATGATTCTAAAAATCAGTAAGGCTCACTGAATGTAAGAAAGGCAAGCAAAAAATTACTCTAATATTCTGAGTTTGGGTAACCTGGAGTATGCTTCATTATTGAGTAAATGTTTACTGAGCCCTAACTCTGTGCCATGCACTGCGTTAAGCACTTGGCAGTATTCTCTTGTGAAATCTTCACAATAAACTCAGTTCATTCTGTGAGATAGGTGTAACCCCAATCTCCACAAAAAGTTAAAGAATTAGCCAGGCATGGTGGCACATGCCTGAAGTCCCAGCCACCAGAGAGGCTGAGGTGGGAGGATCAACTGAGCCCAGGAGGTTGAGGCTGCAGTGAAACCCTGCCTCAAAAAAAAAAAAAAAAAAAAAAAAAAGAAATGAAAATGAGGGACAAAGAAGTGAAAAATGAACCGTATAAGACAATTTAGAGAAACATCTAGTTTGGGAAGACTAGGTAGGAAGCCCGGTTCCAGCCGGGCACGGTAGCTCACGCCTGTAATCCCAGCACTTTGGGAGGCCAAGGCAGGTGGATCACAAGGTCAGGAGTTTGAGACCAGCCTGACCAACATGGTGAAATCCCATCTCTACTAAAAGTACAAACATTAGCCAGGCGTGGTGGTGGGTACCTGTAATCCCAGCTACTCGGGAGGCCGATGCAGGAGAATCACTTGAACCCGGGACGCAGAGGTTGTAGTGAGCCAAGATCATGCCACTATATTCCACCCTGGGCAACAGAGCGAGTCTCCATCTCAAAAAAAAAAAAAAAAAAAAAGAATAGTAAACAGCCATTTACTAAATCATGCTAAAGGAGACATGAAGAGAAATCAGTGAAGGAAACACAGTGAAATAACTTGAGCCAAGTATACAGTGAGCTTCAGTCTACCCAATCTACTTCACAGTCATACAAAAATAAGCAAATAACAGAGAATTTAAAAATCTATGCTTAAGGAGGTTCCTAGTATCAGTCTGAAAGTAACCATTATATTTAGGTAGCTCCGGGATTAGTGGCCTTGCCTGGATGTCATTATTTGCTTCCTTGCCGTTCCAGGGTCTTCTGGCACCTACCTCTGGAGTTCCACTTTCAACTACCCTCTCAAACAAGTTAGAAATTGTCTCTAAGAATGCTGTCTGTGCTTTCTCCTACAGCATCTTAGTGTGTGCCTTCTCCATCCTTTCTTCTAGCACACATTTATTTTCAGATATTTTTAAAGAGCTCTGTGGGAAAGGCACTATAGTGACAGGTGTGATAAGAAGGGATGAGGAGACAAAAGGAAGTTGTACGTGGTCTCTGCCCTCAGACAGCTCTCGGGCGAGATGACTGCACAACCACGATCCATTATACAAAGCGATGGGCCGTGAAAAAGACACAGTGCACTGGGATTCCAGAGAAAGGAGAGATGAGAGGAGGTTTCATAGAACTGGCAGTATGTTAGTTAGATCAGTATGTTACGTCCGGATATTTAAAGTATGTCACTAAATCTATCTACAAATATATATCATTTTTAAAGTTTAAAAAAGTCATTAATCTCAGGGCCGGAGCAGATCTTGCAAGATAATCTGATTCAAAATGGTATCATTATACATGTTTTATAGACACGGCAAGTGAGACTCTCAGAAAAATATGCTTGCTCGTGGTACTTTGGTGAGTTTTAAAAAACCGTCATTAGATTGCTTGAAGATCTAAGGGATTTCATGCGCCTTAGTCAGAACGGATCCATTCCGTCAACTGATTTTTAACTATGCAGCAAAATCCTTCCTAACATTTGATTTGGTCCTATTTTAATGACCTGACTTCGAGTGAACTTTTAGTCACATGGAGATCTCAGTCACATGGAGATCCCAGATTCATAGGATTTGGCAGTTTCAAACCAGATTGCTTCTACAGCTTTCTGACCCATGTCAAACATTTGCTGTAAGTGTTTCCAGCCAGTTTTTGCAGTAACCATGAGATAGTCTTTGTTCTCTGGGTGTAGCTGGCAAGAGTATGCGGCCATGACAAGCGACTGACAAAAACGACTGCATACAAGTAAAAACAAAGCACTCCTCTCTACAGCTGTCAGTGGGGTGACGCTTTCAAACCCTGCAAGGACGTGACCTCCTACTTGTATAGGACTCTTGCTTTCAATCATCATGTACATGATGGTAATTGCCACTTCAAACACATAGTAGCCGTAGCTCATGTCATCAAAGTCTAAAATCCCAGACACCTGATATTCAGCATCTCCAGAGGCTGACTTGCAGGACTCCGTTAAAATATTGTGGTCATTGAGATCTCCGTGATTGATACCTGAAAGTAGAAAACCGTGTAAAAACAGTTATTGACTATCCCAGTTCATTCCCTTTCCACTTCTCTTTCACAGGCAAAAACGTTCAGATGATATGATAAGCAGTCAGAGATAAAGGGCAGTCAGAGATAAAGGGCCAGGCCCAATTTTTCTTGAAATAAAATAATTTCCTCTGAAAAGAATAAAAGCAGTTAATTTGGGATTGTTTTGGTTTTGCTTCTCATCAGTACAAGGCCAGAAGATGTAGACTGCAGTCACTGCAAATAACCTGATTTTGGCTATTAGAAGAGGAAAGGGAAAAGAACTGCTCACATCCAGAAATGTTTAAAAAGAATAGAAACATATTCATATTATTAGAAGAAGCAAAGAGTCCTAGAATGGACCAGATTTGCCTTTATTTTCATCTAGGATTTTATTTTATTTTATTTATTTATTTATTTATTTATTTATTTTTTTGAAACAGAGTTTCGCTCTTGTTACCCAGGCTGGAGTGCAATGGCGCGATCTCGGCTTACCACAACCTCCGCCTCCTGGGTTCAGGCAATTCTCCTGCCTCAGCCTCCTGAGTAGCTGGGATTACAGGCATGTGCCACCATGCCCAGCTAATTTTTTGTAGTTTTAGTAGAGACGGAGTTTCACCATGTTGACCAGGATGGTCTCGATCTCTTGACCTCGTGATCCACCCGCCTTGGCCTCCCAAAGTGCTGGGATTACAGGCGTGAGCCACCGTGCCCGGCTGTTTTATTTTTTTAATTTTTATTTTTTTGATACAGAGTCTCACTCTGTTGCCCAGCTGGAGTACTGTGGCACAGCCTTGGCTCACTGCAACCTCCGTCCCCTGGGTTCAAGCAATTCCCCTGCCTCAGCTTCCTGAGTAGCTGGATTACAGGCGGGTACCCACCACACCCAGCTGATTTTTGTATTTTTAGTAGAGACGGAGTTTCACCATGTTGGCCAGGCTGGTCTTGAACTCCTGACCTCAAATGATCTACCCGCCTCAGGCTCCCAAAGTGCTGGGATTACAGGCCTGAGCCGCCGTGACCGGCCTCACCTAGGATTTTAAACAAAACTTCCTGACAACATGGTAATTCTAAATTTCCTGTTTTTTAGTTATTGAAATAAGTGGTAATATTTTAAGTCAGTACTACGCAAAGTACTGACTGCTGGCGTCTGTGGCCAGTGCTGCTCTACAAAATATTACTAATCTGCATGACATAAGAACAGAGTGAAGGGTGTTTAGAAAATTTTACGGTGATATGACATCCAAGAGTGTGATCAGTGGCCTTGTCTCATTGAACAAAGCATACAGGAGTTCAACTTTTGTCAAACTCCTGTGGTTAGCTGCATGTGACACAAACTGTAAGCTAATCATGCACAGCAGGACCATATGCCAGACTGTAATGGGTTGGGGGGAAAACCCTACACTTATCTTTTATCATAGATAGTCTAAGAAGCACTGATTTAAGCCACCAACTCAGGATTAGTAGGAGATGTAAGTATCCATGAGCAGTGAAGTCCTGAGTCACACACGATATAAGGTATCTAATTTTAACTTTTAAATATAAGGCTGACTTCTACATGATTTAGGAGTGTGTAAATCATGCTTAAGCAATGTAGCAGAGTAAGTGGCACATATAAACAATATTATTGTACATCATAGATTTTAAGCTACGTATTTCTGAAATTAGGATATATTATACAATTGATTCAAAAATATATAAGGCAAAATTTGGCTGCGCACAGTGGCTCATGCCTATAATCCCAGCTACTAGGGAGGCTGAGGCATAGGAATCACTTGAACCCGGGAGGCGGAGGTTGCAGTGAGCGGAGATCATGCCACTGCACTCCAGCCCGGGCAACAGAGTGAGACTCTGTCTTTAAAAAAAAAGAAAAAAAAAAAAAAGGATTCAAGCTGAATGCATTGGCTTGTGCCTGTAATCCCAGCACTTTCAGAGGCTGATGTGGGAAGATCGCTTGCAGCCAGGAGTTTGAGACAAGCCTGGGCAACATAGTGAGACGTCATCTCTACAAAAACATAAAACATTTGCTGGGCATAGAGATGCATGCCTGTAGTCAGCTACAAAAAAAAAAAAAAAAAAAAAAAAAAAAATTAGTAAGATTAAATAAAATTGAAAGTGCTATTCTGTAGTAGCACTAGCCACATTTCAAATGCTCATAGCCACATAGGAGCTATTGAATTGAACAATGCAGGTACTGAACATTTCCTTCATTGAAGAAAATCCTACTGGACAGCAAGTACATTCTCTGATCACAATGTAATTACAGTAGAAATCAACAATAAAATATAACCAAAAAAGTTCATCATATTTTGGGGAACAGGATTTATACTTCTAAATACCCATGAGTAATAGTACAAAAAAAGTAGCCAGGCGTGGTGGCACACGCCTGTGGTCACAGCTACTCGGGTGGCTGAGGCAGCAGAATCATTTGAACCCAGGAAGGAAAGGTTGCAGTGAGCAGAGATTGCACCACTGCACTCCAGCCGGGGTGACAGAGTGAGACTCCAGTGAAACAAAGAGAGAGAGGAGAGAGAGAGGGAGGGAGGGAGGGTGAATTTCATGGTGTGTGAATTACATCTTAATAAAGCTGTAAAAAATAACAGGGGCTTGGTGTGGTTGCTCATGTAATCTCAGTGCTTTGGGAAGCCAAGGCAGCAGGATTGCTTGAGCCCAGGAGTTTGAGAGCAGTCTGAACAACATAGAGAGACGCTGTCTCTACAAAAATAAAAATATTCGCCATGCATGATGGTGCATGGCGGTAGTCCCAGCTGCTTGGGAGGCTGAGATGGGAGGATCGCTCGGGCCCAGGAGGTGGAGGTTGCAGCAGTGAGCTGTGATCGCACCACTGCACTCCAGCCTGGGTGACAGGGCAAGACTTTGCCCCAAAAAGAAAAAAAACATTTAAAATTATGCATCCAAAGATACCATACCATGAAAAGATAAGCCACAGAATGGGACAGAATGTTTGTAACACATATAACTAGCAAAGGACTCATATCCAGAATATATTTAGCACTTCTACAAATCAATGAGAAAAAAATAATTTCAGTAGAAAAACAGGCCAAAGACTTGATTTGGCACTCCTCAAGAATATATGTCAAATGGCCAGTAAATAGGGAAATGTATTTTTTTTTAAGACGAAGTTTCGCTCTTGTTGCTCAGGCTGGAGTGCAATGGCAGGATCTCGGCTCACTGCAACCTCTGCGTCCTGGGTTCAAGCGATTCTCCTGCCTCAGCCTCCTGAGTAGCTGGTATTACAGGCGTTAGCCACCATGCTTGGCTAATTTTTGTATTTTTAGTAGAGACGAGTTTCACCACGTTGGTCAGGCTGGTCTTGAACTCCTGATCTCAGCTGATCTGCCTGCCTCAGCCTTCCAAAGTGCTGGGAATACAGGCATGAGCCACCGTGCCCAGCTAGGGAGATGTATTTTAAAACCATGATGTAATAATAAACTAGTATGTACAAATCAGATTGAGAAAATTTTAGAAGTTTGACAACACCAGGGTGTAGAACAATAAAAACTTTTACCCTCTGCTAGCTGTAGTATAAATTCACAGAACCACTTTTGAAAATGTTGGTATTATCCAGTGAAGCTGAATATGGACATGTGCTATGACCTAGCAATCTTACCCCGAGGTAAACACTCAAAGACTAATGAATGTGTGTACGGACACTCAAGCATGTTCATGGCACCACTGTTCTCAATAGCCCCAAATAAGAAACAACCCAAGTATCTTTTAAGAGTAGAATAATATGTGATATATTTGTGAATACAATATTTTAAAGTTATAAAAGTTAACCAACTAGGCCGGGCGTAATGGCTCATGCCTGTAATCCAAGCACTTTGGCAGCCAAGGCGGGCAGATCACCTGAGGTTGGGAGTTCAAGACCAGCCTGACCAACATGGTGAAACCCCGTCTTTATTAAAAAGAAAGAAATTAAAGTAAAAGTTAACCAACTCTAGCCATATGCAATGACATGAAGAACTTACAAAAGTAGTATTGAGATTAAAAAAAAAAACAAAAAACAAAAAACGGAAGACAAGTGAATATATACTGTGGAGAGGCAGAGTAGGAACAGGGAGTTACACGGCCGCTGCAATCATCCAGATCATAGGATCTCCTATGAAGTAAGAATGGATAGAATTTGATTGGATTTGTGATGTGAGAGAATGAACAAAGTGGAGCCTGATGACTCCTAACTTTTTGTCTAGATTAATTAGGCAAATGGTGGATACCATTTTAATGAGATGAAGACGACTGGGGGAAAAACAGCTTTGAAGGGGAAAAAAATCACCTCTTTTCACACTACACCTTACATTGTGTTTACACAAAGTAAGTAAATACTGAGGCCTATCTTAGGCCTTGCTAGAAATGCCCTTCAGTTCCTTGCCCTTTTTTTTTTTTTTCAGACGGATTTTGCTCTGTTGCCCAGGCTGGAGTGCAGTGGCACAATCTCGGCTCACTGTAAACTCCACCTCCAAGGTTCAAGGGATTCTTCTGTCTCAGCCTCCCAAGTAGCTGAGATTACAGGCATGCACCACCCTGTCCAGCTAGTTTTTGTATTTTTAATACAGATGAGGTTTCATCACATTGGCCAGGCTGGTCTCAAACTCCTGACCTCAAGTGATCCATCCGCCTTGGCCTCCCAAAGTGCTGGGATTATAGGCATGAACCGCTGTGCCCAGCCAGCTCCCTGCCTTTGACCAGTACTTAATGCTGGATGAAAAGGCTGGTAATATCTAGATGTATACCCTAGAGAAACCCTTGTCTGTATACACAGGGAGAGGTATACTAGAGCAGCGGTTCCCAACCTTTTTGACACCAGGGACTGGTTTCATGGAAGACAATTTTCCATGAACAGGAGACGGGGGAAGGATGGTTTTGGGATAAAACTATTCTACCTCAGATCATCAGGCATTAGATTCTCACTGAGATCCCTTGCATGTGCTGGTCACAGTAGGGTTTGTGCTCCCATGAAAATCTAATGCTGCTGCTGATGTGACAGGAGGCTAAAGTCGGGCGGTAAAGCTTGCCAGCTGCTCACCTCCTGCTGTGTGGCCCAGTTCCTGGGGTTTGGGGACCCTTGTACTAGAGTGTTCACTGCAGCATCATTTATGTAGCAAAGAAATGGGAAGCAACCTAAAATTCCATTAACGAGAATAGACAAAAAAATTGTAGTACGTGCTAATAAATTATGGCATATTCATACTATGGAATACTATTTAATAGTTAAGCTAATAAACTAAAACCACAAATATTCATATGGATCAATCTGCAAAACATGTTGAATAAAAAAGCAGGTTGCAGAATAATAATACACTGTGATACCATTGATGGAAGGTTTGAAAAACACAAACCCCTGCTATACCTAATTTATAAATCATACATAGGTAGCGTGCAAATTTCATGGGAAGAAGAGAGGTAGACTCATGTAAAGTTTAGAGGAGCCTTCAATGTAGCAATTTTGAGGAAAGTAAAAATATTATTCTTTAAAAAGCAATAGGAGCAAATATGGCAAAATTTTAAGATTTGATAAAGCTAAACTGCACCTCTATACTTTTCTGATGATGTGAAATTTAACAATTTAAATATCAAGAAAAATATTTAATTGGGAGAATTACTCACATTCTCGAAAATGACTTAATTTGCTCATTACTTCCTCCTTGAACAGATGAATGACCTGCTCAACAATCTCTCGGTTTCGATTCTGGCCCAGGGCATACAGGTATTTCTCCAGAAGAGGAACATTTTTCAGATTCCAGATGAAGTTCTCCCGATGAAGACTACTTAGCTTTGGGTGATGGAATTTCTAAATTGAAAGCAAGATATTCTTAGTCTCTTGACAGAGCAACCGCTGCTGAGAGAGGTGAGAGGTACTGCACATTTATTTTATTTTTATTTTTGAGATGGAGTCTTGCTCTGTTGCCCAGGCTGGAGTGCAGTGGTGTGATCTTGGCTCACCACAACCTCCACCTCCTGGGTTCAAGTGATTCTCCTGCCTCAGCCTCCTGAGTAGCTGGGATCGCAGGCAGGCATCACTATGCCTGGATAACTTTTTTGTGTATTTTTAGTAGAAATAGGGTTTCACCATGTTGGCCAGGCTGGCCTCTATCTTCTGACTTCAGGTGATCCACCCGGCTGGGCCTTCCAAAGTGCTGGGATTATAGGCGTGAGACACTGCACCCAGCCAGTGCTGCGCATTTTTAATCAACCAGATCCTGTAGAACTCACTATCACAAGAGATCTGCTGTTTCAGAAGAAGACTTGCTCTACAATGGCCAGGGAGTCTCTGAGAGAGAGAGCTGGCATTCTCTCACGGTCATTGACTTGCCCATTTACTTTAATTCACAAAATAGTAAGCCCTTCATAGCTGCGCAGGATCTCTCAGTTTTGGGAGCACATTCCCAGCTCACTTATCCTCATAATTATGTGAAGATAGGCATTATTGCCCACAGCTTACAAAAGAAATGGGAGGCAGCTCTAAAGAACTCTGTTCTCACCCATGCCCCTAGTTACCTCTCTGACTTCATCTTCTACTGCCTTTGCCCCCCTACTCCAACTACCCTGGCCTCCCTGCTGTTCTAGGAACATGCCAGGCATGTTCCCACCTCACAGCCTTTTGCTTTTGCTGTTTCCTTTTCTGGGGATGCCCTTGGCCAGACTTCCACATGGTTAATGCCATCATTTTTGCCAGCTCTTTACTCAAAAAACACCTTCTCTGTGAGAATGTCCTGACCACCATCTAGAATTTCATCCCTCTCTCTCTCCGAGATTTTGTATCTGTTGTCTCTGCTGAGTTTTTCTTCTTCTTTTTTTTTGGGACGGAGTTTCGCTCATGTTACCCAGGCTGGAGTGCAATGGCGCGATCTCGGCTCACCGCAACCTCCGCCTCCTGAGTTCAAGCAACTCTCCTGCCTCAGCCTCCCAAGTAGCTGGGACTACAAGCATACGCCACCATGCCCAGCTAATTTTTGTATTTTTAGTAGAGACGGGGTTTCACCATGTTGACCAGGATGGTCTCGATCTCTTGACCTCGTGATCCACCCGCCTCGGCCTCCCAAAGTGCTGGGATTATAGGCGTGAGCCACCATGCCTGGCCAGTTTTTCTTCTTATCACTTTTGCTATGGTAATGTTTTGCTAATATTTGTCATAGTTCAACTTATTTTACTGTCTACTCTCATTAGAATATAAGCTCCATGAGGGATAGTGCTGCTTTTTGTCTGTTTTGTTCACTCCTGTATCCCCACACCTAGAACAGTGCCTGGTACATTGAAAGCCCTGCTCGAGCAGTATTTACTGAATTAAAGGATGTTCTTAGAACACAAAATTCTGGAATTAGAAGGCCTTTAGAGTTTGACCACTCTATCTAAAGTTGTAAATAATTTTCACTATCATTGCATGAATGGGGAAACTGAGGTTCGCAGAGGGATAACGACTTGCTATTACAAGGCTGAGGGAGGACTTAGATCTGACTCACAGTTCGGACCTCCTTCACAGAGTGGGTGCTGGAAGGTGCCTTGATGCTCATCCAGTGAAATATGTTTCAAACTTTTTTTGACCATGACTTGCAGTAAGAATTATATTTTACCTCATAACCCCAGTATACAGGCACACACACATATAAAGAAAAAAGTCCCAGTAAACAATCCTTAGACTATTACATGTGACATATTCTGATGTTTTTAAAATTATATTCTGGCTGGGCACAGTGGCTCACGCCTGTAATCCCAGCACTTTGGGAGGCTGAGGTGGGTGGATCATTTGAGGCCAGGAGTTCGAGACCAGACTGGCCAATGTGGTGAAACCCCATCTCTACTAATAATACACAAAATTAGCTGGGCACGATGGTGGGTGCCTGTAGGCCCAGCTACTTGGGAGCCTGAGGCAGAAGAATCGCTTGAACCTGGGAGGCAGAGGCTGCAGTGAGCAGACATTGCACCACTGCACTGCAGCGTGGGTGACACAGTGAGATTCTGTCTCAATAAATAAATAAATAATAAAATAAATAAATATATTCTATTTATTTTAAAAGTTCATCTAAATGGATTTCAGTACTCACTATTATGACCAGGAGTTTGAGAACCTTCCCCTGACACTTCTCTTAACAGTAGCATTGGCCGGGCGCGGTGGCTCAAGCCTGTAATCCCAGCACTTTGGGAGGCCGAGGCGGGTGGATCACGAGGTCAAGAGATCGAGACCATCCTGGTCAACATGGTGAAACCCCGTCTCTACTGAAAATACAAAAAATCAGCTGGGCATGGTGGTGCGTGCCTATAATCCCAGGTACTCAGGAGGCTGAGGCAGGAGAATTGCCTGAACCCAGGAGACTCCGTTGCGGTGAGCTGAGATCGCGCCATTGCACTCCAGCCTGGGTAACAAGAGCGAAACTCCGTCTCAAAAAAAAAAAAAAAAAAAAAAGTAGCATTTTCTTGCTAAACGGTCATGTATCCTGTTTAAATACTTGCTGATATGGTTTGGGTATGTGTCCCCACCAAATCTCATGTTGAACTGTAAGCCCCAGTATCAGAGGTGGGGCCTGGTGGGAGGTGATTGCATCATAGGGGTGGTTTCTTATGAATGGCTTAGCACTCTCTTCTTGTGCTGTTCTTGTGATAGGGAGTGAGTTCTTCTGAGATCTGGGTTTTTTGTTTTGTTTTGTTTTTTGCGATACAGTCTCTCTCTGTTGCCCAGGCTGGAGTGCAGTGGTACGATCTTGGCTCACTGCAACCTCTGCCTCCCAGGTTCAAGTGATATTCCTGCCTCAGCCTCCCGAGTAGCTGGGATTATAGGCACCTGCCACCACGCCTGGCTAATTTTTGTAATTTTAGTAGAGATGGGTTTTACCACATTGGCCAGGCTGATCTCGAACTCCTGACCTCAAGAAGGCTGCAGAAATTTGCATAAGTAAAAAGGAGCCAAGTGCTAATAGCCAAGACAATGGGGAAAATGTCTTGAAGTCCTTTCAGAGACTTATGTCCTGGAGGGCTAGGAGGACAGGATGGTTTTATGGGCCACGCCCAGGACTCTGCTGCCCTACACAACCTTGGAATATTGCTCCCCGCATTTCAGTTGTGCCACCTCCAGCCATGGATCGAAGGGTTATGGTACAAGTACAGCTTGGACCACTTCTTTAGAAAGTGCAAGCTTAGAAGCCTTGGTGACTTCCACGTGGTGTTAAGCCTGTGGGTGCACAGAGTTTAAAAGTTGAGGCTTAGGAGCCTCTGCCTAGATTTCAGAGGATGTACAGAAAGCCTGGATGCTCAAGCAGAAACCTGCTGTAAGGGTGGAGCCCTCATGGAGAACTTCTACTAGAACAGTGCAGAGGAGAAATGTGGGCTTGAAGCCCCTACACAGAGTCCCCACTGGGGCACTGCCTAGTGAAGTTGTGAGAAGAGGGCCATCATCCTCTAGTCCTCAGAACGGTAGATGCACTAAGTTTGCACCCTACTCCTGGAAAAGCCACAGCCACTCAATACCAGCCCTTGAGAGCAGCCACAGGGGCTGAACCTTGCAAGGCAACAGGGTTGGGCCTGCCCCAGGCCTTGGGAGCCCACCCCTTGCATCAGTGTGCCTTGGATGTGGGACACGGAGTCAAAGGAGATTATTTTGGAGCTTTAAGATTTAATGACTGCCCTGCTGGGTTCTGGACTTGCATGAGGCCTGCAGTCCCTTCCTTTTGGCTGATTTTTCCCTTTTGGAATAGGAGTGTATACCTAATGCCTATACTCCCATTTTATCTTAGAAGTAAGCAACTTGTTTTTGATTTTATAGGCTCATAGGCAGAAGGGACTTGCCTTGTCTCAGATGAGATTTTGGACTGTGGGCTTTTGAGTTAATGTTAGAATGAGTTAAAATTTGGAGGGACTATTGAGAAAGGATGATTGTATTTTGCACGGTGAGGAGGACACGACATTTGGGAGGCCAAGGGTGGAATGATATGGTTTGGCTCTGTGTCCCCACCAAATCTCATGCCAAACTGGAATCCCCAGTATTGGAGGTGGGGCCTGGTAGGAGGTGATTGGCTCATGGGGATGGTGTCTCATGAATGGTTTAGCCCCATCCTCCTGAGGCTGCTCTCGTGACAGTGAGTGTGTTCTCATGAAATCTGTTGTTTAAAAGTGTGCGGCACACCCACCTTGCTCTCTCTTGCTCCTGCCCCTGCCGTGTAAGACACCTGCTCCCACTTTGCCTTCCGCCATGATTGGAAGCTTCCTGAAGCCTCCTCAGAAGCAGAAGTCACTATGCTACCTGTATAGCCTGCAGAACCATAAGCCAATTAAACCTATTTTCTTTATAAATTACCCAGTCTCAGGTATTGCTTTTTTCCCCCCCCCCAGGTATTTCTTTATAGCAATTCGAGAATGGACTAACACACTTCCCATGGGAGGTACTTTTTACCCTCATGGAGATGGCTTTGTGTTTTTCCTTTTGTGGAGTTAAAATCTGCCTCTGCCTCTCTAATAGTATCCATGCCACTGGTTCCAGCTGTGACCTCTGGGGCCATCTGGAACTGGATTAGTCCTCCACATTTTTGAGGATAGCACTCCTGCTCCCTTGTAGTCCTCTCCCTCAGAGTCTAAGTCTGTTGCCCAGGCTGGAGTGCAGATGCATAATAGCTCACTGCAACCTCTGCCACCCGGGTTTAAGTGATTCTCATGCCTCAGCCTCCCAAGTAGCTGAAATCTCAGGCATGTGTCACCATGCCCAGTTAATTTTTTAGTATTTTCAGTAGAGACGGGGTTTCATCATGTTGGCCAGGCTAGTCTTGAACTCCTGGCCTCAAGTGATCCACCCCTTCAACCTCTCAA